ATAATATATTGTATAAAACATTATGAAATGTTCTTATTTACGAGTATAAATTATTTAGATTATTCGTTTATTTATAGATGAAGCTATAACATATATATGTATATATACATATATATGCGTGTATGTATTTTTATTACGTCATCAAAATATCTAGGCATGATATATTACGTAGAGTATTATGCAGAACTAATAATTGCAAATATATATAAACATATATACATATAACCTGTGATGGGCTTTAACATTGCAGATTTATGTAACATTTACTTCATTATTAAACCATTACTACCAGTACAATTAAAATAAAAAAAGGCGTCCTGCTCGTTGACAATATCAATAGGTACTGAAAGAATATGATGAATGTGAAAAATTATGCACCCCTCGTGCGTTACCTGCCTACAGTCATATGACGTCACGCGTAACCTATATTTCATCAATCAATTTACTAAACCAGCTATTGTCACCCCTGTATTCGAGGGACTTAAAAAAAAGTAGGTTTTCCATTCGGTTGTAGGTATATTTTACGTTTGTTACCTCATAACTCCGTTAGTTCTCAACCAATTAGATTTTTTTTTTCTATTTGAAAGGATATGCTTAAAGATTGATCCCATAAAAATTTTATAGAAATCCGTTCAATAGTTTAGTTTTTATATGAAAATAACTAGTTTTGTCACAGTTGAAATCGCTTTTTTTTATGGGGCACAATCTTTAATTGTTCACATTACAGGATGAATAAGGTTCTATTATAGCTTATTCGATTGCAAACATATCGCTGACGTTCAATATACTGAGCTCGATTTACTATTACTGCTTATTTTTTATATTTTCTATAAAATACTACTCGTAAAAGGAAATTCGTGGCTTCGCCCACGCAAAACCCAGTATCCTACGCCCATTGGCATATCTTAGAAACTTTTCTTAATGGACGCCGAGGGACCTGTATAATGTGTCAAGTTTCTAGACCCAATAGTTTTCGTGTTGTATATTGATAGATCGCGGTATTTGTATATAAATAGATAGTTATTAAACAAATTTTAAATATCTTATTAGTATACAATATGACAACCTTACTACCAAGTGACACCAAGAGTACCTTTACTTTACCATTTATATTGTAATCGTTAGCATTATTGTTTAATATTTATAATTATCTATGGATGATTATTAGATTATTAGTAAGAGATATGTTTCTAAACAAATAAATAAATAGAAGGAAATTTCATTAAATTTATTCATCATTAAACATCCGTTTCGGTGCCCATAAAATATGTTTTACTCGTTCATAAAAGCAACTTTGATTTTAAACGCTCCTCTGTGCTTATAAAGTATTCAGTGGCGGGGGTCGTCGTTGTTTTGGAATATTTTAGTTCAGACAAGTCGCTCTCGCTCAGTAACATGAACCATTCCTATGTTAATTATTACAAAATTTATAATCGTCCATATCTCTTTTATGGACTTATAAATTCCTTCAGTAAAATGTATTTAGTTTTCACCGATCTCCTAAGGGTCATCAAATCGTAAATTTTTTATGTGATTACGTTCCTCGATTATATCGCCAATTGTGAACCGATTTTCGCAATTCTTTTTGTAGTCGAAAGATTTATCAATGTCATCATTACCTTACTGATCTTGTCCCACTTATTTTACGACATAGTATACTTTCTACTTCCCTGTATCTCTATTGGTAGTCATTTCCGTATTCGCTCCCGTTTTGACCATATCATGTTTCACACTGTCTATTTAAGTCTTTTTGGGTCTGCTTCTATCCTTATAGATATTTTTTTTATACAACTTAGAATGGCAAACAAGCTGACGGCCCACCTGATGGAAATTGATAACCATCGTCGTCTATAGACATGAGCAGTACCATGAACATAACAGAGTATACTGTTTCGCCTATGATACCCCCAATGCGTTGCCATTCCTGAGGACTCAGGTGTTATTCCTCTGTACCCTGTAAATTCACGCCATATCCCACCCTTCAAACCGAAACACAGCCATGCAAACACAACTGCTTCACGGTTGAAACACGAATGGGACAGAGGTGCCCAAGCAATCGACTTTTGTACAAAGTCTCCCTTTGGTGAATATTTATTCTTAATATATTTCTTAAAATATATTCCTCATCACTGCGCATCACGTATCTATATTTTATAAATAAAGATTTATCACTGTGCTAGTCTCTTATTAATTTTTTGACAAATTAAGATTTCTAAATTCAAATATTTACGATAAAATATGTCGTTGTTCATTGATGTATGTATGCATTACCGATTATTGACTTAGTAAAATGTATTCACATAATGACAGACTGAAAATGCAATCGCAAAAACGCGACAAAAATACAATTAAAGTCAATGTGCGTATAATGTAAATATGTGCATGTGACATTTCAGAATTCATATGGTATTTATATGTTACAATTTTAATTCAATTCTTGGAGGTGTAAAATTTTATTCGATTAAAAAATTCGATATACCAATTCTTGTACAAAATATTTCTAATTGTTCTGTTATAATGCATTTAAAAAGCTTACATACATAAAATACGTGCAATCTTTTTTATGCAAGTATATATAAATATTATATCCCGTAAAAACACTTAACTCTAACTGAGTACATTCACTTAAAACTAATTATACTTCGGAACGTAAAAAGAATTAAAACTTGATTTAATCATACTCCCGCCAAATTCAGTTCGAGCTTATATTGTGTAGGTGAATGACCTACTTGTCTATCTCACTCTCACATATACGTTATCATGTTTTTTCTATTTTACATTATCCCTATATACACTTTATAGTCTACGTTTCCAAATAAAGTGATTTTGTTGCGAGAAAAAATGCACTTATACTCGTTTATAAAAGCAACTTTGATTTTAAACGCTTCTCTGTGTTCATAAAGTATTCAATAGCAGGTCGTCGTTATTTTGGAATATTTTAGTCTTCGAGGTGGAGACAACGCGGACTCGACAAGTCTCTCTGTATATTTTCCGCGACTAGCACCTCCTCCACCTATGTAAATATTTTATTTAAACCTCTTCAAAGCAGCCTCTGTAATGGGATCAGTGGCATCATATTTTCCTCCAGGATAAAGCAGGTACAGAAATATTAAAATGGGTACATGCGAAATTTTTATTTACTTACAGTCTAATATTGTACAAAGTAAAAAGCGTATCTAAAAGGGATTTTATGTTCTTAATATCACTATGGTGTATTTGTTTTTTTTTTTTTTTTTTTTGCGTTAGACCCTGTATGATAGAACGATGTTTTAGAGTTCCGTAGACGTATGATAAGAACAAAATTGTTATACATAGCTTCATCATGATACATCTGAAAGGCGGTATGTAATAACGTCAATTTTGTTCCATTTGCCTGATAGATATAAATAATGACCAATAAGTAAATAGGATATTCAATGTTTGATGTATGTTAAAGTCTAAATTACTTTATAACCAAACAACAATTTTTATCTTTATCTTGGATGGATGGGTAGCAAATATTCATCTTACCATCAATGTATTTTATTGTATTGTAATTGTGGATTTTTGATTGATTGATTGATCAATATATTAGCCAATTAATTTATAAAACGGTTATGAATTATAATAAATGCTATAACTTCATGTATATTGCATGTAAATTTTTGTCCGTAACTTAGATTCAATTGAGTGTAATTGACTCCAGCTGAATTTAGATTTGGAATTCCTATAAAATTGAAATAAAAAAACATCACAAATACAGAATTGTAAATGATTTCGGCACGACTTGTGATTGAGAATGTTTACTATGTTACGCTTAGTTTTTATATAACTTGAAGTACTTTTTTTATTATTCTTAGAATCATAAACAGGCTGACGACTCCCCTGATAGAATATGGTTCTGTCGCCTATAGACATAACAGTACCATGCACATTACACAATATACTATTATGCCCATAGTACCCCTCATACGTTGCAATTCGTGAGGACTATGACGTTTCGCCTCTGTACCCTGTAATCTCACTGTCATATTCCACACTTCAAACTGTAACACATCCAAACACTACTACTTCACAGCAGAAACACGAGTAGGAAAAAAATAAAGAAAACATGCAGACGACTTTTGCACAAAGTTTCCCTGTGATTAACTTGTACTGTCTATTTCTATTTATCTCTATAATCTCTCTCTAGACTTTACACAGAGTTGCCTTTGAAATGGTAGACGTGATTTTGTCGAATTAATTATCGTGGTATAAGGAGAAACTTATTCACAACATCTCCCGTGAGGTTAACATAGCCTTTAATATTTTTTGACAGGTTTTATCATTCATAAATCCAACCGCGACAAGAAATTTGTCTACGTTTTATGCCGATGGCAATATGAAGTATATTTTTAATCTACATAATAATATTATTTCGAGAAGACGAATTAAAAAAAATGTCGAAAATTAAATATGATTATCGTGTTTAGGACATGAAACGGAATATTCATGTTATAAATAAGATTTTCACAATATGATGTATTTTTCAGACTCTCTTTAAGATACTAAACAATCTTTTTTATTTAAGATATTTTTCTATTTATTCTTAAAAATATGGTGAAATTGTATCTATTGATTTACCTGCTAAATCGAATCACGTTTTCATATCAATAAAATAACATAATATAATATATGTATAATATACTGTAATATGTTATTATAATTTTGTGGACAAAGAACTTTAAAAGACTTAGGGGCTTAAAATGAGCTCTTAAAACCTAATAGTTTTACAGATTATAATGAGTCGCCCTACAAATTAACACTAAAAGCATAGACAAACCAGCCAGTTTATAGTCACATGGCCAAAACCAATCGAGTCTTTAAATAGTTGTATAAAGACATCTATCGGATGGCCATGCCATATGTTTGGTTGTTTAAAATAGAAAAATTCTTGAACACTTAAATTTGAATTCTCATGAACACAAATTTATTATATTTTTATTATATTATATGCCTCTAATGAGAGTATTATTTTCCAGATGAGTTCTGCGAAGAATACCCCCACAGCTTAATTCCCACCCCTGGGTATTGGATCGAGTGTTCGCGTCAGAAAATCACTACAGACACCATCTGGGACGAGTCCGAATCAGAACATGACAGTGGACCGGATAGAGATGATAATGGTAAGTACTTTATGTCAGATACCTATAGTAGTAATTGTGTTTGCATGGCTATGTTTCGGTTTAAAGAATGAGATATGGTAGTAAATTTATAGGGTACCTACAGACGAATAACACCTGAGTCCTCAGGAATGGCGACGCATAGGGGTATCATGGACGAAACAGTATACTCTGTTATGTCCATGGTACTGCTCACGTCTATAGTCGACGGTTACCACTTTCCATCAGGTGGGCCGACAGCTTGTTCGCCATTCTAAGTTACATAAAAAATAAGAAAAACTGTAAGACTCGTATTTTTAATGTAACTAGAGATGGCAAACACACTGATATATACCTTGTGGAATATGGCAATCTTCATCTATAAATATGAACATCACCATGTTTATTATAAAATGCATTGTAAAGCCCAAAATATATGTTATAGTTTAAGACTCACAAATTCCTAATTCATGGTTATTGAAAGACGAGAATTTGAAAAAGCCATCCCGCCTGCCAAGCATATTAACTGCTGGCTAAACTTCTCTTATGGCGAAGGCCTATGTTAAGTAATTGACAGTTAATGGCTGATATGATGACAATGATGATGAAAAAACGAAAATTAACATATAAATAGTTGGTAACACCAACCCTAGTACATTTAAGAAAAAAACATAAGTTACTGTGATACTGGAAAGAACAACAGCTGGCAACTCTAATTTTGAACTTGTACTAAAACTTTCATGTTCATATATGACAAGCTACATATTCTACATGGTAATAGAAGTCGTACAGACTTCTTCACATTGGTAATTAATAGTAATCCTCTACTAATCGAAATAAAGAAGCAAGAATCTTTACAAATAAAAGATGAAGATTTATTAATATGAATAGATACTTAATATCGGCACTCCTACGGAGCCATAGCAACAGAACGGCAGTAACTTTTTTAAGTTTTCACGAGTTGAGTCCATGTAAAAATGAATTTTATAAAACTTGAAGTCCGCCGTTCAACATCTTAATCAACCACGGAAATTGTAAATTGTGCAAATTTAATAACTGACCCATTCTGGAAAAAACCTTAATATTTTTTTTAATAGACGTCAAATTGCGTTTGCAAATAAAGTGCCTTTCTAAGAAAACGGAAACTTTATATTGTCAGAAATATCGAAATTAAATTCTATCTTCACGCCATCGTTCTAAGTACTACTACACTATGATGTAAAAGTTCCGTTACAAATAAAGAGAGCAGTGCTTTCGGCACTACGTTCTCTGTTCTCTTAACCCCAAGATATTGAACAAAAAGCTGCTTTAGCTCTTGGTCTATACGAAGACTAAATCCTTGTCACTTCACATTAAATTGATGGTTTTGGTTATTTCAATAAACTAAGACATAAACCACTACGTTTTATTATATGTATCAGCCTCTTTGCTATTGAATATTCGATTATAATAAATCAACCCGTTCTAATTTTAAATTTAAATTAAACTGTCTGTATTTTTGATAAAATATATTATTATATTTAAAGGTGTACCTAGTAATTAATTCGAAACTAAAACAAAACTAAACGAGTATTTAAGTAAATAATAATTGCTTTTAAATTACTTATTAGCTTTTGACTTTAGCATTTAGTTATTACCTACCTGATATTTCACAATGAATTTGATATAATTTAATTTAAATATAGATTATATAAATAACTTCAAAAACATTATCTAAATATACTTCAAATCAAATCTGTCAAGATGCCGACATTATCACCCGCCCCTGCAAACATCCCTTGCAGGTCTGACATCTGAACAAAGAAAATACGATACGAAAATCGTTCATCATAAAGTCAAAGAATATTTCATAAGATATTTTCTAAGGGGCTTGGGACAAAATTACATAAGCCTATTAAAAGAGAACAGGGAATTAGTGGCGCCACAAAGTGGTCGCCGACATCCTTAGGCCGTTTGAAGTAAGGAAACGTTGCGCTTCTACTTCGCTTGGGTGCTTTGAGAGCAAGTTAAACATTTTTATACTCCACCCCCCCCCCCCCTTCACTCTCTAAGTAATATTGCCCACCTTCACAATACTAATACTTATTGTACTTAATTATACTTCAAACGGTAATAATGATACGTTATTAAACTTCGAATACCACCTCGTACGAATAACAAATAATCTATACAATATTTAAAAAAAAGGAAAGATTTATTAACTTTCTTCATAAAATGACATTTTATTTAAAAAAAAAAGAGCACTTTTTATGTAATGAAATTATATCTCTTTGTTTGAACGATGTTGAAAGTTAAACATTCTTCCATTAAGTCATATCAAGGCAAAGTGGCAAAGATACCTACTAGCAGCGTTTTCATTACACTAACAAAGATTTATTTTATGTCCGTTTTTCATTATTACTACTATATGTAATTATTATAACTATTTTTTTTTAATTAAACAAATGAGAGAAAAGTTAATGTGCATGACTGTATCCCGCGCCTTCACCCGCATGAATTAGTATATAAAGTATCCTATGTACTAAGAATATAACCTACCCGTGTACCAAGTTTCGTTCAAATCAGTTTAGTACTTTTTGCTTGAAAGTATAACAAACATTCATCCATCTCATTCCTCATATTTATTATATTAAAATATTTTAAACGCCCCTCCCCCTCGCTCCCCCCGCCCCTCTCAAAAAAGAAGAAACTCAATTCCTCTTTATAGAGACCTCTTAACTGTATAATTACATTATATAAGAAGCTTGGAATATTTCACATATCACGAATGAAATTTTAAATGCTACGCCAAATCATACATCACTCCAACTACGTCGCTTCACAAAGAGTGCTACAAATCGCACTAAATTTAATCGCAGAGTTATAACAAAATCATAACAAAATCGCGCGACAAAAAAGAGCATACATATGTCTAACAGTGGGCTGATTACATAACTAGTTAGATTATATAGAGATGTAACCCCATAAGAGATTCGAAATTTTAGAAATTTATCCAAACATATTTCTTTGGAAAAAATCTATTTCACTGTTAGTAATGATATTAATATTTCGATTTCACCATGTGCAAACATGATTAATACCATAAAAGTATTATTATAAACGTTAATTAAATAAATAATATCATAAATTGAATATTCTCGCCTCTATTATTTCGCCGTCGAGAGGTTTATATGTAGTGCTTTATAATACTTACCAAGCCGAATATTAAATCTGCCGCCTCCTTTCGTTACATTCGAGTGGTTGAGTTTTGAACAATTTATATTACATATACATATAATTATAATATTTCGTGGAATCGAGCCGACTGAATTGTGAAATATTTGAATTGAATAGAAAAAGGACTCTTTCTAGGGTGTTTTACCTCAAAAGGACAGAATTGAAGTCTTATAGGATCACTCGCGTGTATATGCGAGCCTGTTTGCTCATCAGTTTGTCACAATCAATTTGCTTTGAAATTACTGGACCAATTGGATTGAAATTTGGTATATACATGTAAGTCAATAACCCATAGACGTAGCTGTATCATAAATAAATAAACATGAGGTCAGTTTTCGGGAATAAAATAGAAAATAAAAAAAAATTGCAAAGTATATCGTGTAATATATCAAATGAAAAGACTTATTGTAACAATCTTAAATTAACCATTCCCATTTGAATATATGGACACATATATACAAAACTACAGGGTCTTAAATTTTGAAAATAATGCAAAAAATAGCTCTTTACCTATGGATTACAGGAAAGCCTATAAAGAATTTATGGTATTTAAGGTAACATACACGTAAAAAGGAGATTTCTCTATATTTGTGCATATGAATTACATTTGATGTAATTTTACATCCAATTTGCTTTCAATATACGAGATAATCAACATACGGAATACTTTCCACCTAAATATTTTTTTTCACAACTTAGAAAAATAAATGAGGTACTATCATCACTCGAGACAGGTAAGATTGTTAAAGATGTTTAACATTTTTTTATCAAAATTGTATTTACATCATGAAGTCTTATGTATGTATAAGCATAATATGGTAATAAACCAATAAAACACAATAATTATTAACTTTATTATTATTAATTGAATAATATATAAATCATACCCATATCCTTAATTATAATACATCTAAAGGTGCTTACCCCTATTCTTAATTCAAAGTTACTTTAATTACCTCCCATTCTCATAGAAATTTCGGGAAATCCTTTCTTAGTGAATGTCAATTTAAAAAACTAATCTGTATTTCGAATTTCGAACACCTGCGATTTACATACATTGTTACACCAGTCGATCAATAAGTTGGTACGAATGTTTTTTATATTGGTACAGTACATAGATAGAGTTTTTTAAAGCCTTTTATGACATAAAAATAAATATCAAAATCAATTTACCGCAACTCGGTGAAAACGTATCATAAAATAATCAAATGTACATAACCGCCAAAATACGCAGAAAAATATAAAAATATTTACGTTCTTTATAAAATAATTATGCAAATTTTAGGAGACAGCTCGTGTAATGGCCGTTTTATTATTTTCCTCATTGTCATCGGGTTAAACAGTATAAAGCCTGACCAGAAAAATAAAACTACTTTAGAGCACTGTCGTTGCATGTTTTATAAGTAGAAACCATATTTAAAGGTAACGTTGTCCATCAATTAACAGTGTAACGGTAACCTGTAGTAAGAAAATAAAATTATGTGAAATTTTAATTAACTAGCTTTTTGCCTGCTACTTCGGATGCGTGGTTCCAAAAGTAAGAAAACCAACCAACCAGTAGACTACTTGTATAAAAATAAAACATACACTACATTTTAAATTAGACTTTCAGGAACACAACAATAAAAACCGCATCCAACTTGGTGTAGAGTTTTTGCGTCATACCAGAACAAACACTCATACAGATGAACAAACAGACATACAAAATTTCTAAAAAATATATTTTTGACCTCTATTGGTCTTAAACCCATCATATTATTTTTTCTTAAATATCTCTCATGTACAAACATCGTCTAAATTCAATTTTA